CCTCATCTCCAGCCCCACCCCAGAACCCATACCTCCAGCTGAAGCCCTCACCCCTCTCCTGCACCCAACCTGCTGCCCCAGCCCAGAGCCTCCTCCCACACTTCAAACCACTCAGCCCCAGACTGTCCCCCAAATCCCTCAGACCCAGACCCACCCTGAAGCCCACACCCCCAGCTGGAGCCCTCACTCCCTTCCATGCCTCAACTCCCTGCCCCAGCCTGGTGAAAATGAGCGAGTGAGCGAGGGTGCGGGAGAGCGATGGATGGAGGGGGATGGAGTGAGCTGGGGCAGGGTCTGGGGGAAGGGAAAGGAAGGAGCAAGGGTGTTTGGTTTTCTGCAGTTAGAAAGTTGGCAACCATAATTAGAAAGGCAGATGAATAGAGAGGCAGCTAGATGCATGGAAAGATATTTCTTCAAATCAACCACCACAGATTTGCAGCTGCTTCTGGGGTGAAATCCAGCAATTGTTGAATAGCTCAGAGGAACATTATGCTACAGTCAGAACTGAATGATACTGACTCCAACTGAAAGTCCAAGAAGAGTTTAGGTAGGTAAAACAAACTTAAGCAAACTGGAATATGGCCAGGATGCCATAACACCCCTATGATTACAAAAAGTACTATGGAATCTTCAGTGACTATAAGTGGTCAGGGCTCTGGTATTATGTGTCATCTGAAAGAAGTCACTTTCAGAGGTATAATGCCCCAGTAGTGTGTGTGCTTAGGCCCAATTCCTAGCCCAAGATCTGTAGATATTGGATAGTGATACTAACAAATGCTGCAGAGTTAGCAATCTAGCTTTTTATCAACTGATAGTAGGAAATCACAAATGCTAGGGAACTGTGAATTCTGTGATGTTGGGGTTTTTCTGTTTCCTCCAGCATGTAGGTTTCTTTCCAAAAAAATGCCTCTAGGTTGTCTGATTATGGAGATACTTATTATTATATAATAACTAACACAATGCTGCCCTGTTAACTAATGATGGGAAAATACCTCATTACTCAAAACCAGGTGATTGTCACTGTTTGGGGATCCTACTGTTCAAATTCTCCTTCCCCTAATACAAATGTCACCTGCATCTCAGAACTTCCACTCCAGTTGCCCGAGACCCTCTCCTTCATCACTGCACAAACTTACTTTAGTCTGGCATTTGGTGACCCCATGGTGTCTTTGAGACAGCCAGTTGTCTCACTTCTCCATTCAGTCCCTTCAGAAAGTCTGATAAGTGGACCTATTCTCTCCCAGTCCACCAGGAATCCTCAAAAGGTGAGGGTCTGCCCCGCATCTTGCAGTGAGACCCGTAAACGTTCACCACAGTCCTGCTGTTACAGGTTCTCCATGTTGTGGGGCTAACGTGCCTCAGAATGTACAGGGAAAAGAAGCTCTGTGGACACTGTCACAGTATCATTAGTAGGTACAATTTACCAGGTTCTACATTACAGAAGGGAGCAGAATGCATTTGGTTTTGGGTATCACCTTTCATACAGAAGGGGCAAAATCTTGTTCCCATTGAAGCCAATGGGAGTTTTGTCATAGACTTCAGAGGGGCCAGGATTTCACCTATGGTACCCTTAAGCACTTTACTAAGTGGTTGCCTGATGGTAGAGGAAGGGGATGGGGGAAACCAGTGGCCACAGAATAATGCAAAAGGGAACAGGATATGCTTAAAAGGTAAACTTAAAAGAAAGTGAGACAACTGGGATATTATTATAGGGAAAATCTATTTCTTTCAGTGCATGTGTAAAGCAACTACGTTAGAACCTCAATTTTATAAACAGACCAGTTATATGAACAATTTTTCCTGACTGAAAAAAAAAATCACATAACAAGTGTCATGCTGATGAAGAACAAGTTGACCTCCCTTCACATTCTGATGCCTTCAATGCACTGGAAATGGCTTTGCAGTGGTTTGAAGGACATAAAGAAAGTGATGCTGTTAGGCAGCATACCTACAGTGATTTTGTGATGTTAAATTGTATGTACTCCTCAATCCCAATTAGTTTGTAGAAAGGGGTTCTACTGTCTGTTAAAAAGTCAAGTGTTTTATGAGGTAAGGTAATTTTCCAAGCATTATGCACTACATCATTCCCTCCCTCAGAAGCACTTATATTCATACAAATGAGGACATTATATAGACAGTGTATGTATTCACAGGGGATATATTGTTGAGTTCAAATGACTTTAGAGATTCTTCTGGGTAAACATTTGGATTGGGGGAAACAAATCCTGAGAGTTCAGATTCAAGTTTGCCTGGTGTCTGTATGAGTCTAAAGCTGGTTTCAATCAAGGGTAGATCCACTGACTTCATGGAGCTGCACCAATTTACACCAGCTGAGGAACTGGCCAACAAGGTTTGTTTAATTAACATGAACCTCGGTTTTTGTATTCACTATTCCTAACATGAACTTTTTGGTGATACGTTGACACCTAGGGCCAGTTGTTATTTTGCAGCACACACAATGGTCACTTGGAATTTCATGGTAGCAGATCACTCTACTCTGAGGCCCACACACAATTCACTCTAGCTGATGGCAATAAAGAGCTTGTGACACACATTTGAGAAGTTTGATTCCACCCTTCTAACATGCACTAGTTGTGTGTTAGAGAGCAGTGATTCTCTCACTCTCTAACACACAACTAGTTTATCATGATACATTTCTATCAGGTTTGTCTTGAACAGAGGGCAATATGCATCTAAAAGGAGGGTTTGTTTTAAAACCAGAGTTTGTTCTTGGGTAAACACAATCTCGCTTCATCAACAAGGAGCAGAGAATCCCCCCGTATAGTGGGGGAAAAAACTTCCAGATCAACAGTAGTTCCTTCCTTCCTTGTATGATGTGTTTTTTAAAATTTGATTTCACAAGTTCACTGCTAAATATCATTGAACTACAGATCTGAATTAAGAGAAGAAAACATCAGCCTGCCTTGTTCCTTTACCAGGAGTCACACAATCCACCTACAAATTTAGTCATCATGTCATTTGCACCCTAATGTGTATCCTCCTCTTCCTCTTGGGAACCCTCTTGTAACAAGCTTAGCAGCAAAAACAGCAATACACATTCACTGTGGCCCCTGCACCAGGTTTTTACTGCACACATTGAGGAAACAAACTAACCTAAACCAATACCTTAAGGAAATATCAGAAAGTTAGAAATCAATTGCAAGAACTGTCAGCTCCTTACTGCACAGCTTTACATGTGCAGATTTGATTTGCTGAACAAAGTAATGTAGCCCATGTGGTTCTTTTCTTCTCTCTGGCCTCCTTCCAGAGGCTGCGGATCAGTTGTACTGCAGCTCTTCAGACATTGACACATGGGGCTTCTTTCACTGACCTCTAGATTTCTTTCCCTGAGAGCTTGGGCACTCTTCCTATCCAGGCCATTGCTAAACCAGCACACAGCATACACTGTCTGCTCCTCTCCTCACACACCCATTTCCCCCTAAAAAATCCCAAACTTCTGTTTCTCTCCCAACACCTTTTACACACTCTCTCGTCACAGATACTAAACACTTTGCACTGAACCACACTCACCCCTCTGTTTGGCATCCCCCATATGCCCACCTTCCTGCCTAGCACTCATGTAGTGTTTGCATGTACACACACAAACACCGCTTTTCAACCACACTGACACCTCATACATATTTTTTTCTGACACATCCATGCTCTGTCTACAAAACCCCTCACACATAGCTGTTTCTTTTCTGGCACTTTTGCACACTCTACACTGACTTTGTCATGGACAATCTACCTTTATACTCACACTCAGCTCTTGGTTTGGCTGAAAGCCATTGAACAAATCTGTAAAGCCGGTATATGATGGAAACCTCTTCAAGCTAGGGGGTACTACCCCTAGTTCCAGCATACCTGCCCTCTCCTCTGACACCAACACATTCAGTACACCCCCTGCACTCTGACACTGACATACACACAATACAGCCCCTCCTCTGACAGGACACATATGCACGATACACCCCTCTCCTCTGACACAGACACAATAAACTCCTTCTTCTGACACTGACACATACCCTTCTCTGATGGTACACACACAGTACAGCCTTCTCCTCTGACAGGGACACAACCCCCCATATGTATACCTCTTCCTCTGACACACACACACACACACACACACACACACACACACAGTACAGCCCTCTCCTCTCTCTCTCACACACACACACCCTGTACCACCCCTTCTCTGACACACACACACACACACACACACACAGTACAGCTCTCCCCTCTCTCTCGCACACACACACACCCTCGTACACCCTCCTCTGACACACACACACACACACACAGAGTACAGCTCTTCTCTCTCTCTCTCTCTCTCACACACACACACACAACATCTCTCTCTCTCTCTCTCTCTCTCACACACCCTCCTCTGACACACACAGGCACACACACACACACAGAGTACAGCCCTCTCCTCTGACAGGGACACACCTTTTCCTGACACAATCACACGCTCTCTCCTCACACACTGGCTCCCTCCCCTCCCCTGGTCCCAGCGCTGCCGGGATCTCCGCAGAGCGCGGGGAAGCGGGCTCGCCGCCAGGGCCAGTGGCCCAGGGGCAAGAGGGCGGCGCGGGGCTGCTCCAGCTGTGCCCTCCGGCCGCACCTGCGAGCGCGGCAGCCCCCCGGTCGGAGCCTGGCGGCCGCGGAGCAAAGCAGCTCCAGCGGCGGCCTCGTCCCGGATGGCTGTGCCGGCGGGGATGGAGCTCGGAGGGAAGGTGAGCCTGGGAGGCAGAGGCAGGAGCAGTTGCAGGTACAACAGAGAACGGGACGGGGGCTAAAGCTGCTGCTGCTGAGGGGGCAGCCGCCGATGGGGCGCCGGGCCCCTGGTGCCTTGGCCAAGCGAGCTGAAGCCAAGGACTGGGGGTGCAGCCGCCTGTGGGGAGGGGTGGCTGGTGGGGCTGGCTCGGTTGCTAAGGGCTCCATGCCCCCGTCTCTAACCCTGTGCCGCCCGCCTTTGCTTCCTTCCAGCACCTCGGCGCCGCGGGGCTGCCCCGGACGCGCTGAGCCGCGGGGCTGCGCGCTGAGCCGCGGAACCCGCGGGCCCCCGGCCCGGGCGGAGTAGGCGGCAGGATGTGGAACCAGAGCGGCTCGCCGAACTCCAGCGCGCGCGCCCCGGGCTACGAGAACGACACCTGGCCCGAGTACCCCGTGCACCTGTTCCCAGCCCCGGTGCTGACGGGCATCACGGTCACCTGCATCCTCCTCTTTGTCGTTGGGATTCTAGGCAACCTCATGACCATGCTGGTGGTGTCCAGGTTCCGAGACATGCGGACTACGACCAACCTCTACCTGTCCAGCATGGCTTTCTCCGACCTGCTGATCTTTCTCTGCATGCCCCTGGACCTCTTCAGGCTCTGGCAGTACCGACCCTGGAACTTCGGAGACCTCCTCTGCAAGCTCTTCCAGTTCGTCAGCGAAAGTTGCACTTACTCCACCATCCTCAACATCACAGCCCTGAGCGTGGAGAGGTACTTCGCCGTCTGTTTCCCCCTCAAAGCAAAAGTAGTGATCACCAAAGGGAAAGTCAAGCTGGTCATCCTGGTCCTCTGGGCTGTGTCCTTTGCAAGCGCGGGACCTATTTTTGTCTTGGTTGGGGTTGAGCACGAGAATGGAACGAACCCCTTGGACACCAACGAGTGCAGAGCTACGGAGTATGCGATCAAATCAGGGCTGCTCACCATCATGGTCTGGACCTCCAGCGTCTTCTTTTTCCTGCCTGTGTTTTGCCTGACTGTGCTTTACAGCCTTATTGGGAGGAAAATCTGGAGGAGGAAGAGAAAGAACATGGGACCAAATACCTCTATTAGGGACAAGAACAACAAACAAACTGTGAAAATGTTAGGTAGGACTTTATATTAATTCCATTTTACTGTTGGGCGTGTGTGTCAGAGAGAGAGAGAGAGACATTGATGGTGCTTTAAAATGGTCACTAAAAGTGAAGTATTTATCGACCATTTTTACTATATGGCTAAAGTTTATAGTAGTAATATAACAAAACGCTTCACTCTCTGTGATTTATACCGGCGTCCTATGCAAAATACTTGGGCAGATATTAATATATCAACCTCTATATTGAAAAGAATAATTAATAATGAAAAATATGAATATTACACTCACTATTGCACTGAAAATTCCTGAACCTTTTTGTAAATAAGTTAAAGGTACCAAATGCCAGCTCGAGGAGGATTTGTATTCACAAAACTAAACCCTTCTAAAAGCATGACATTTGGCTGCAGGGGATCTAAACAGAATGGATAGATGCATGTAGAGAATTATGGGAATGTCAATTTCTTTAAGCCTGTTGAAGAAAACTAACAAATATAGTTAATTAATGTAATGAAAACTAAAGTACTTACTAAGGAATATTCTCTTTTAGAGTCTGTGATTCTTCTCCCATTGAAGTCAACAGCAAAACTCCCAGAACAAGACCAAGTCATTAGCCCCTGTCATTTTTAATTTAGTATGTTTAAATATTTTCAGTAAAATAATATTATTTGCTTGTAAAATATTAACCTTAACATACAAATGGACACGTCTTAACCCTAAAGAATCTGTCCCCATAAGCACTCAATGTCAGTGCAGTTAACAGGCATCCCATGTATGGACTAAATCCACTAGCACAGAAAAAGGTAACACTTTCTGGCACTATCAGTTTGAAAAAAATTACCATCAGTTTATTGGTAGAAAATTACAAATTCTCTTATTATTTTAGCAGCATTGTTCCTGTCCAAGTAGTCCTTTCACATATGAGTAATCCCATTGATTTCAGTAGGTCTATTCATGTAGATAACTTTTTTCTCACATGAATAAGGTTTTGCAGGAGACAGCCCGACTTTACTAAATTCAACTACATCGGAGTTATTGGCCAAAGAGCTGCACAGTGTGGCTGCAATAGGTCCCGTGTATCTAAATTATTAACTGTATCTAACTGATTGTTTTATTCATTTTTTTTAATTTACTAGGCAACAACAACATGTGTGATAAAAGCTGTGAGATACTTTGTGTACCTTCAATTACATTTTAGGATCGATAGAATACTTCAGAGGGTTAGACGTTACTTTGGAAGTAACTCACTACTTACATTTTTGTTTCCTGATCTAAATTTTCACAACAGTGAATTTTTGCTTATTACAGGAAGAAAACCCTCCATACCTCATTTCCATATTTATATTTCTAAAAGTTTAAATACTGTATACCAATTTCCAATCCTAAATTACCTCAATCCTAAAGCACTGCCACAAACATTAATAATATTTCAAACACCTTGCTTCACACCACATCAGAGAATGAAAGCACTTTGTCTAGAATCTTTTATTGGACCCACTTCTGTTGGTGAGACAAGCTTTCGAGCCACACAGCACTCTTCTTCAGGTTCAAACTCTTGTCCCTCTCACCAACAGAAGTTGGCCCAATAAAAGATATTACCTCCCATATCTTGTCTCTCTAATCTCCTGGGACCGACACAGCTACAACTACACTGCCTGTGGCTAGAATGTCCTTTAACAGAAAGACAACATTCTCTACCTGATGAAAATCTAATGAAGGATATAATGAAGAAACTCAATAGAGGCTCAATAATACAAGGTGTGTAGTGCCCTCAGCTTCCATTGATTTGAATTTTCTGTTTAGAATTTCAAATGGACAGCTTTAAATCCTTACCAGTTCTGGAGCTGCAAAGGCCAACAATTCAAAATTATCAAAAGGCAAAGTTAGGTTTCTATATCCATATTCAAGGACCTAAAAAAGTTGTCTGGTTTTCAGACGTGCCTAGCACCCACTGATCCCAGTAAAATCAATAGGACTGAGCACCTTTGAAGATCATGCCATTTGTTTTTAGAAGCTAAATATGGATCAGCATACCTAAATTCAGTCCAGTCAAGCTGATTTTTCATATGTATCTTATTTTTGAAAATGTTGGCCTTAGTTTATAATAGTAACTCTGATTCCTTAAAACTCAGTGAGGGAAATATTACTGTCCCATTTTACAAATGGGGACTCCGAGGCAGAAGCCGGTTAAATGGTTTCCCCAAAATCAAGCGCTGTCAGCAGAGTTGGGAGACTATGATTTCTCGCTGTATGTTCATTTAAACATAGGAATCTCTTTTGAATGTTTTGTGAAAAGCTGCTGATAATTATCTCCTTTTCATTGCTTTTCAATCACGCTTTATAAATATTATTTCAGCCATGGCACGACACACCAAGTAAAATCCTGGCCTCATTGATGTCAGTGGCAAAACTCCCATTAAATTCAGCGGGGTTAGGATCTTATCCAGATAGGATAATAAACAAAATGAGTTTTCTGGTAAAATCAAATAAGTTAACTACTGTACCTAATGAAAAGGCGGTTAAAAACTCTATCCTGAAATCCTTGTGTCTTTTTTGTGTGTGAATGGGGCTATTCAAAACAATTTTAAAAGTACTGTTGAACCAATAATGAGTAATGAACCAATAGAAAATATTCCCCACTTCCTAGGAAGTGTAGAAAGCAAAATGGGCAAGAGCTCAAGTTTTCAGATACATATTTTTAGCTTTGCTTTTCTTAGGGTAACTCATTCTCAAGAGCAATATATAAGCCAGAAGGTTCATAGGATGGATTGTGCTTGCCTCGGTGGCTTTTTTTTATTGTCTTTCATTCTCTTGCGGATAAATCTTCCACAGCTCCAGATTCATTTTCCCTTACTTTGAGTCCTTTTCCCAAATTCAATATAGCTCTATGTCCTTATACTTTTAATGATAAATTGCAGTTCTAAAGCCATCCGTTATATTTATGAGCTTTGTTAAACACTGTGTATGTTACTCTTAATTATTCTTAATGTCAGTGTTTTCTTCATTATATTGTTCCTGTAATCCTGTTTTAGCAAAAACTCAAAGTGATGTAGTTGAAAACTATTTGGACACTAAACTCAGCTGTGATTTATATATTAAAATATAGCTATATATTTTACTATATTATTATTATTGTTTTGAGATATATAATCTATTAATAATATTGATATTAATTTAGGAAAAACAAATTAAAAAAACCCCAAATAAATTATGATCAGCTTTTTACTTTATGCAAGTCACATTCTTTAAATTTCACTAGTATTAAAGAAGTATAAGTACATTTAATTTTAAATGACCTATTGTTTTAATATCCTTCTGCTGTTTCCATTTCAGCTGTGGTGGTGTTTGCTTTCATACTCTGCTGGTTGCCTTTTCATGTAGGACGATATTTGTTTTCCAAATCCTTTGAAGCCGGATCCTTGGAGATAGCTGTGATCAGCCAGTACTGCAACTTGGTGTCCTTCGTCCTCTTCTACCTTAGTGCTGCCATCAACCCTATCCTGTACAACATTATGTCTAAGAAGTATCGAGTCGCGGCTTGCAGGTTGTTTGGACTCAAAGCACTCCCAAAGAACAGATTCTCTGTTACAAAGCAGGAACATTCTTGTGCTTGGACAGAATCTAATGTGATTACATGACAACCTATATCAAGTGCTAAAGCATCACTTACCAATATTACACAGAAAGCCATAACGAAAGAGAAAGATATTCAAAGCAAAATGTAAAGCAGTATTCCTGTTCATCATTGGGGCTTGCTAAAAGATATGATGTAGACAGTTAAAGATAAGAAAAATGAGTGGAGCACTGAGCAGATAACGGGTGATCCATGCTGACAGAACTCTAGTATTATTTTCCTGCAGCTTTTGGTGCCTATGATTTTATATGAAAGACACTGGCAAGGGAGCTGGACTTTACCATTAAAAAGCAGGATGCAACCCTGTCCATCTTACTTATGTGACTTCATTGGGAGCTAAGGTGAGCAGGATTTGTCCCGTGATAATCTTAACATGTCAATGGAATCAGGATAGCAATCAGATCAACTTCATTGAGAGTTTTGCCTAAGTAAAGATGAGGCCCTAGAAGAAGTTTAATTCAGCTGCCTTTTGCAGGTAAACATTGAATTTGTTGTGCTATGCCATAATCATGATCAAAAGCATTCAAGGGGAAATGATTTATGAAAGAGAAAGGAATAAAAGTGGAAAAGTTTTAAACATGCTAAAAATCAGTGGCCTTCAGATCATGTCAGAACAGAAGGGAAATAAAAACAATACCTTTAGGCAGAACTGCCTTACAAAGCAATTAGAGCAGTACTGATTTTTTTTTTAATGTATCAGTGTGGCAAGTATCCGAGGGGTAGCCGTGTTAGTCTGGATCCGTAAAAAGCAACAGAGTCCTGTGGCACCTTGAAGACTAACAGACGTATTGGAGCATAAGCTTTCGTGGGTGAATACCCACTTTGTCAGATGCTCCAATACATCTGTTAGTCTTAAAGGTGCCACAGTGTGGCAAGGACAGTATTGACATCAGAATCACAATGATGTAGTAAGGAAAACTATTGAATGCAATCCCCACCAAAATGATCTTTTAAAGAGGAAATATTCCTTAGCATGGTATTTTTTCCACTAAAAACATTAAATCGCAAATCTCACCCAAATGCAATTGAAAAGATAGCTATATCATCCACACAGTTTCTTTGGCTAGATTGTAAGTATCTTGATGTCTTTGAACTTGCAAGCTTTATTGTTTTAATATTGTAACAAATCTGTGACTAGCTAGGAACTGTCCATTTGTTACTGTGCTGAATACCATGGCCACTCAGAACTTGGTTACAGGGAGGGTAATTAACCATTGGAATGAACAGTTTACTAAAGGTCATGGTGGACTCTCCATCACTGGCAATATTTAAATCAAGATTGGATGCTTTTCTTAGAAATATGTTCTTGGACTTATTTTGGGGCAGTTCTATAGCCTGCTATATACAGGAGGCCAGATCAGATGGTCAGATCAGATCACAAAGGTCCCTTCTGTAAATCTATGAAACTCCTGTCCCAAAAGCACAGCTCCCTTTCATCTAAAGAATATCAGTTTGCTGTTACCAGTATAGTGCCTATGACACACAGCTGAGCAGTTCTGATTCCATCCAGTAGAGCGCAGTGATAAACATATACACTGAGTTGCTGATCTTTAAAACCCTTGAATTCCATTGATTTTTGTAACTCAGGTCTCTTTTTCCAGTACTGTCCATCTTTTATGCTGTATGCATGTTCTGTACTGCCTCTGCCGTTATGTAGGCTTATACAATCTAATAGCATGCATGTGGAATAGTAGATTTATACTTATTTTGTTTCTTGTATTTATTACTGGTTGGCCCATAGCTTGCTCCACTTAATGAATTATCTGTCTTGTCCAAAATTCCTTTAAGGATAATGAGCCATATTCTGCTCTTTTACACCTCCAGTTAATGGAACAACTCGGGTGTAACTAAGAGCAGTATTTGGCCTATTCTGTATCTACTGTATGTTTTGCATATAGATTGTTTGTTTGAAAAGCATTAAAGTTAAGACTGCTTCTTTTGGGATGTGACACCTGAGTCCATTTTGTGGCCTGATCCTGCACTTGCTGAAGCCAGTGAACATCTTTACTGTGAAGTAATTGGGTGCAAATGTATAGGTGAAGAGACAAAAGCAGCTTAGGGTTTATAACCATCAAAGATGCAAAAGGCTAACGAATTAAAAACTCAGGGGTGAGGCAAGCCTCTGACTGTTTGACACCAGTTCATGTTCCATTAGTATGAGACAGAAGCAGGTAATTGACAGACTAGACCAGAAATGGGCAAACTACAGCCCGCGGGACCGTCTTGCTCGGCCCCTGAGCTCCCAGCCGGGGAGGCTAGCCCCTGGCCCCTCCCCCATTGTTCCCCTTCTTCCACAGCTACGCCGCCGCACAGGCAGTGCTCTGAGCAGCGGAGCTGTGCGCTCCTGCCGAGCAGAGCGGCAGCATGTCTGGCTCCGGCTGGCGTGGCAGTCAGACATGCTGCTCTGCATGCTCTGCTCGGCATGGTAAGTGGTAAGTGGGCTGGGGGGTTATATAAGGGCCAGGGGGGGTTGGGAGGGCAGTCAGGGGACAGGGAGCAGGGGGCGGTTGAATGGGGCAGAGGTTCTGCAGGGGGTGGTGGTCAAGGGATGGGAGGATTGGATAGGCGTGTGGTTTCGGGGGGCCGGTCCGGGGGCAGGGGTGTGGATGGGGTCGGGGCAGTCAGGGGACTGGGAGCAGGGAGGTTGGCTAGGGGGTGGGGTCCCAGAGGGCAGTTAGGGGACAAGGAGCGGGGGGGGGTTGGATGGTCGGGCGTTCTGAAGGGGGGCAGTCAGGGGGTGGGAGGAGGCGGATAGGAGGTGGGGGACAGGCTGTTTGGGGAGGCAAAGCCTTCCCTACCGGGCCCTCCATCCAGTTTTGCAACCCCAATGTGGCCCTCGGGCCAAAAAGTTTGCCCACCCCTGGAGTAGACTATAGAATTGTCTTTGAGCAGGTCTCTAGCAGCATCTCTGCTTTGTTGATTTTTTTCATTTTTCTGTTGAGAGACAAACAGGGTTCTGGTTAGACGCGTCATACAACTCAGGGAAACGAGAAACTTGGGGATCTTGAAAAGACTGTAAAGATATTATCTGCTCACAAACTATTTGACTCTGTATATGAATGGAACATACCCATAAACATTTCTAAAATTAACTGTGTCTGATAGTATTATGTGTGGACAGAAAATGTAATAAATTTATGAGAAAATTTCCAATACTACTGTTTACACTATTTGGGGAGGGATGGGAATTAGAAACATTTCTAATGTGTTGCTTTTATTCCCAAGGTAAAATATAACTATTGCTCAGATTCATTACTTAGCATAAATAACTTCTTGCAAGTAAAGTTTGAGCCTAAGGGCACGTCTTCACTACCTGCCGGATCGGCGGGTAGCAATCGATCTATTGGGGATCGACTTATCGCGTCTTCACTAGACGCGATAAAATCGATCCCCGATGGCTCTGCCGTCGACTCCGGAAATCCACCGTAGCAAGAGGCGGAAGTGGAGTTGACGGCGGTGTGGCAGCGGTCAACTCGCTGCCGTCCTCACAGCCAGGTAAGTCGACCTAAAATACGCAACTTCAGCTACGCTATTCACATAGCTGAAGTTGCGTATCTTAGGTCGACCCCCTCTCCCCCGTAGTGTAGACCTAGCCTCAGTCTCATTACACTAAAACCACTTTACATTGCCAGAATGTGGTAAAGTGGCCTCAGCGCAAATAAGAATAAGGCCTGGTCTACGCATAATTTTTATCCCATTATAACTATTTCAGTTAGGATGTGATTCTTTTCAGTGAAATTGTTATACTGGTAAACCCCTTAGTGTGGACACAGTTATAATAAAGGTTCTTTTTACTGGCATGGCTATTTCCATTCCTTTACAGAAATAGCTCTACCAATAGAAAGCATATTTATACCAATATCACTGAATCCGCATGAGGGGTGGGTGGAATTGTATTGCTTCAACTGTACCTATATAGTTACATTTTTGTGTGTAGACAAGGCCCTGCGACCCTTACTTTTGAATCCCAGATGTCAGGAATGATGGTTGTAATGAAAAAGAAGTACATTTCCTTCTCTCTATTATACAGTTCATGGCCTTGCGCCAGCCAGGTGCTGAGCACGCTGGCCCTGATCAGCAAAACACAGGCACCTGCACTTTTATTAACTACAAGAGCAGCCAGCGCAGTCTGAGTCTGGTCAGACTTTTGGAACGATTTAAGTTCTCTCTGGGCATGTTCAGATGTTTAACATGTACAATAGCACAGTCACTCCCCCGCTAACATTATACCATCTCATTTGCTTAGTTGCTCCCACACTAGTAGCTTTTGATACCTATCCTTACAAAAACTCCATCAAAGTCAAAGAAGCGACACTGATTGACACTAGGTGACAGTCTGGCATTAATAATAGGGTTGTGTCCTTTCAGTAGATACTGGAACACCATTGTTTCAAGGGAAATAGGAACTGCCAGGCTGGATGAGACCAATGGTTCCTGAGGTAGTCCAAGTATCCTGTAACCAAACGCAGCCAGGTCCAGATGCTTCAGAAAAGGTGCAACTCACCCCCCACCCCGCCCCTGATGTGGATGACTAAGAAATATTTTGCCCATTGGGAGAGTTACTGCCTAGACCAGGACAGGTAGGCTTCTACATTGATACAGCATTCCCTGGGTAAAATCTAGTGGAGAGAAGGCACAGGTAGTTTTTACTTCAGTGTAGCTCATTGAGGCCAGTCCTAGGAGCACAGTATAAGCTTAATGAGTTAATAAGTACCTGTGCCATGTCTAGGATTTTACATCAGGATAATTATCTCAAACTAACTCTCAATGTAAAAAAGCCACCATCTTTTACAGTGAAGACAAAGCCTTAGTTGCTGGCTTATGTCCTGAAGCATGAGATAAGAAAACTGAACAGAATTTTAAAGAAGAACTTATTTCAGATACCATTAGAAAGGAAAGTAGCTTAAAATTCTTTAAAAAACCAAAGCAACATCACTTAATAATTTTCCAAACAGCAAATGCAGCTGTATCTCCAAAAGCCTTCCTAGCCATGGAGTTAGTGAAAAAGAAGTGTATTGTTGAGTGGCAGAGTATAGTATACAGAGGTTTGGGGGGAGGAATAGCTCAGTGGTTTGAGCATTGGCCTACTAAATCCAGGGTTGTGAGTTCAATCCTTGAGGGGGCCATTTAGGGAACTGGGGTAAAAATCTGACCGGGGAATTGGCCCTGCTTTCAGCAGGGGGTTGGACTAGATAATCTCCTGAGGTCCCTTCCAACCCTGATAGTCTATGAGACAGCAATCTCAGGCTTGGTCTACACACCCTAATTGACATAGGTATACCAGCAAAACATTAGTATTAGTAAAGCTCCTTGCCTATAGTTAATCCACAGGCAGAATAGGAGGATCCCAGTGGGAAGCAAACTTTGCCACTCCAAATGGAAACATTTCTAGGAAATGCAATGAGTTGAAATTTACTGCATTTTAACTCCCCTATCTGAGAAGAACCCACATAGGGAGCAATTTGCCCATTAGACTGAAGGTTCATTCATTAAATGATACAGCATTTAAATGCTTTTCTAGCTCTACAGTGTCTATCATAGTTTCACATATAATGAGGAAAAATTTGCCTGCATTTTATTCCTCAGTCACAGGTTAAATTGGTGATGAAATAGGTCCCAAGCACTTTACTGGAAAGCTTCATTGATTTTATGCATGTACCTTTCATGAATTCAAGCACGGGACAGAAAAACATGTCCTAGTGTATTGTGGCCAAAAGTATTCCATAAGAATAGTACTTAAATATCAAATTGCATAAATAGGCATTCAGAAATAATATGACAGTGGTTTGTGTGTCAAATGGACTTGGGAGTGTAGTTGCTTTCCAACATACCGTGACTGTAAACACAATCAAAAGAAGCAAAACCTAAACAGTAAAGTTGATGCTGTGGAGTTTACACCAGGATTTGGCTGCAATATAGCTTTGCAACACAAAGTAGTTAATGCTCGAATAAAAATGAACATTTTCATTTTAACAAATTTCTGTTCGTTAATTATATTTATTACAATAGTGCCTAAAGGCTAACCAGGAATGCAGCCCCATTGTTCTAGGAACTGTGCAGACAGTCCCTGCCCTGATGAGCTTACAATCTAAATAGACAAGACAGACAGGGTGAGGCAACGGGTGTAACACACAAGCATAGTGAACAATATGGTGGTAGCAAATATCATGGTAGTGCCACAATTTTTGGGGGCGGGGGATTGTTAGGAGGGGTTGAGGGAGGCAGGGCAGGGGAAAAGAGAATGAATCTGAGGTGAAGATACTGTCGGGGCGGGAGGGCTGGAGCAAACAGCCAATCAGCACAGGGCACAGAAAGTCCAGTCAAAACTGAAGAAAGTTCTAAGTGTCCAAATGTCCCTACTCTGACTGCTTCTGCACCTACCTGCTGTAGTCTCTGGCTGGTTTCCATCTGTTGTTTTCCCCCAAGTCAGGTTGCGGGGGTGTGGGGGTGGGCAGACACCACCTGGGATCCTAATACACTCAGAGGGTGGTTGCTTCTGTACAGTCCTGGGTCTACCAGGAGGGGTGGCTCTGGCTGGTCCCCATTAGTATAATTCTTTTTTTCCTATTAGAGGAACAGAATCACAAATAGAACCTTATGAGTTAAGAGCTTTATTTACTTCCAAATTATCTATCTTAGGTATCTCTATGGCTACATTACTAGAGTGTCTGAGCCCCTCACAATCTTCAGTGTATTTATCCTCACTGCCATGGGAGGTAGGGCAGTGCTATTAGCCCCATTTTACAGATCATAGAATCATAGACGATTAGGGTTAGAAGAGACTTCAGGAGGTCATCTAGTCCAACCCTCTGCTCAAAGCAGGACTAACCCCAACTAAATCATCCCAGCCAGGGCTTTGTCAAGCTGGGCCTTAAAAACCTCTAAGGATGGCGATTCCACCACCTCTCTAGTTAACCCATTCCAGTGCTTCACCACCCTCTTAGTGAAATAGTTTTTCCTAATATCCACCCTAGACCTTTTCCACTGCAACTTGAGACTATTGCTCCTTTTCTGTCATCTGCTACCACTTAGAACAGCCGAGCTCCATCCTCTTTGGAACCCCCCTTCAGGTAGTTGAAGGCTGCTATCAATGGGGAACTGAGCCACAGAGAAAACAAGTGATTTGCCCAAGGTCATGGGGAAAGTCTGTGGCAGAGCTGAGAACTGAACCTGGAT